AGGGAGGGAGTTGGGCAGGGCTGGGGCTAGGGCTGCTGCCAAGCCACGGGGTGCGTGGAGCTTGAGACCCGGATGCTGCATTATGTGGCCGCAGGACCCCAGCAGGGAGTGGGATGGGGCTGCATGCGGCTTGTCCAGGGGATAGGGCCAGCCCCCCACTGCTGCGCACATTCTTGGGGAGCAGGGGGTACCTGTGTCCCCCCGATCTGTGCATGGGGTGAGGGGCAACATGGGTTGCCTGCTGTAGGCTCGGGCTCCTGCTCTGCTGCCCTCCCCCAGGGCCTCCACAGGCCAGTGGATGCAACCTGGCACTGCAGAGCAGAGCAGGGCCGTACAGGAAAGCTGCTTGCTGCTGCGAGCCCCATGCTGCCCTGGAGATTCATCCCCTGCAACTGCAGCCGTGCAGGGCTGTGGCTGTTAGTGCTGCTGCCTGCACAAGGGAAATGTTGCCACGGCAGCGAGCAGCTTGCAACAGCAAGCAACTTTCCTCTGCGGCCCCACTCTGCCCTGCAGTGCTGGGCCAAACCCACTGTGCTGCAGAGGCCCTAGGGGAGGGCAGCAGGGCAGGAGCCCAAGCCCAAAGTGGGCAGCCCACCCCCACCCTTGCCCCGCACACAGATTTGGGAAGCATGAGTTCCCCCTGCCCCCATCCCTCAGGAGTGCATGCAGCAGCCATGAGTCAGCCCCACCTCCCCGCCTGAGCTCACAGGGCTAACAGGGTGTTGCGGGGAGTGAAGGGCACCAGCAGGGCCAGGGAGGTTGGGGAGGGAAGGAAAAGGCATGAGGGGCACCAGCAGGGCCAGAGGGCGTGGTGGTGAGTGGCCTTTCATTTTAATCATAGAATTGTTTTTTATCAGAGAATTTGTGATTTTTTTTATTTATCAGGGAAAACCATGGATCCCTGCTCATCACTATATAATTTCATAAAATAAGATGACAAATTTTTACTGCAGTAGAATGTAGAGCTTAGCACTGATGCTGAATAGCTTTTTCCTCATCGTGGCATCTATTTGCCATTTTGAAAAGCACAACACTTAAAAATCATTTAAGTAGCACTTATAAAACGTTACTTCTGTAGTAAACTGCAAACCAACAAAATGTTAGCAGCTTATCTGACAAAAAAACAAGGGGACTGCAGCTAGGTTATGGTAAAGCATAAAGTAGGAACACTGGCTTCCACCAATCATCCTATACCATAAGGAACTGGAGAACATAAAGCATCAGTCTTCTGTTCTGTAAAGTAGGGGTGTGGCACACCTTTCCGAGGTGTGGCTCAGAACAACCCACAGGTCAGAAAGCAGGTGCTATGACTCAATCACTTCCGGTTTGCATAGTGGCACAGGAAGAGCATCTGTAGCCAAAGGCCATGGCTGCCAAATGCCAAAGATTCAATGGCTCTGTGGGCCTTCAACTGCTGATTTTTATTGCAGAGTATATTCACCATTCAAAACTAAAGGGAAAGGAACTCCCCTCCCTCTCCACAACAGGAGAATAAGGGGAAAAGTTACCTACCACTTAGTTAATAGAGATATTGGTGCTCAGGTAATAACTGTTTTTTGGCAAAACTAGATACCTAAACTGTTATGTGCCAACTTATAAACTAAAGACAATTCTTGTAGATCACCATAAAATTCTACTCTAGACTGCACCAGTCAATATGCAAAAACACATATGAGACCTTATATCTAACTGAAGATTCTTTGTATTTCTAGCAAACTTTCCCCCCCAACTTTTTAAAGAAGTAGTGTCATCATTTTATTCTATTCCCTCTAAAACATCCTCATATGCAGATATCTGCTTTGATTACTGCATATTGGAAAGTGAAATCAGATTACAATACATTTAACTGCATCCTGACTTTCATGTCAAGATGGCAATACTTGTAAGAAAAATTACTAATTCTACAAAAAGTTAAACACTTCCCTTTTGGCAGGAAAATGCAAATTGGATTTATTTCTTTTTAAATAGAAGATGTCATCCTTCAGTTCAACATTCGAGTTCTAAAGTATCTAGCTGGTTCATTCAACAGTAAAAACTGTAAAACATATTTGATGAGATATCTTAAGATACAGCAATTCATTAGCAGCACATCCAAAAATAAGTCTCAGAGCATTTAGGTTATTTATAAAGCAATGATAGTACTTTCACATACCCAGTGAAAGTATATTATTAATTGGTTTTAGTGAGAACTAACAATGGGATCAAAAATATCATTTGCCTCTGCCCAGAAAGGTTGCCAACAACTTGGTCCTGGCATTATACAAACATGAGCCTCGATCCTATAAAGATCTATAAACTACAAAGTTTGATATCTCTTAAAGCATGTACTTTATATAAACTTTAAGGGTTTGAGTACCCTAGCATCCAATATGGATAGTTTATATAATCATTGGAGAGGACTATTTGACCCTATGCAATTAAAAATTAAAATGTAATAAAATGCTTAGTTCCCCTAATTAAACTTTGGTTTTATTCACGTAACCTTAAATATTTAAGCTATTACAGGTCAAGTGTGTTATCTGGGGCTTTACAAGACTGAGATGATAACACAACACTACTACAAAAACTGGGATCATTCTGAAATATTCTGTACAAGTGGCAGTCAAGAAATTTAGAGAGTACCAGGCCTGGACACAGTCACCTTCTCCTTCAGTAGCTGCCTAACTAAGATAGTTTGTCAAATAAGTAAGGTTTCATTGTATGCACCTTAGGAAGAATGATAATCTCATCCCTAAAACTCCAACTTTCCAGATCATCATATTTGAAGATTGGGTATGCCTTTCTTTTAATACGCTTAACATTAGTAATGCTTCTGGTCTGGTATCTGTCAACAAAAGCATGAATTCAGAGATAAGCCTTCTTATTAGGAATTGAGTCTACACTTGAAGAAACAAATTCTAGTTTCATGATTCTAGTGCAGTTGTCAAATACTACCTGCCTCCTACCTGTCTTGCACCCATTAACTCCCATTCCCTCTGATCTTCCCTGGCATGCACTTGCATTTTCACAGACCTGAATTTTGCATATTGGCTTTAGCTTCAATTCCACCCACAAGAGTACACAAACACCAGCAGACTCTCCCTACACCTGAAGAAGGGTGTTTGTGCCCAAAAGCTTGTAAAGAACAATTTTTCAAACTAGTTAGTTGGCTAATAAGAATCTTGCCTGTCAAATACAGATGACACT